TTGGACGCTGGAATGGTTGGTGTAGCAGTCATGGATGTATTCGAGCAGTTCGAATGGTCGGATGGTATAGTTTTTGTTTGGTTGTTGACTTTCCGATTAAAAGTCAGGCACCGCTTGTCGTGACCAGCCCAAGATTTCCAGCGTCGGCCACGGCTAGATGAATTAGCAATGCAGCTCCCATGGCTGCGGCTGCTTCCAATGCTGCTACTGCTTTAGTTGCTGCTGCTGTTGTTCCTTCTGCTGGTCCGTCTCCTCTAAAATTCGTAAAAAAAAAGACGGACCAGCAGCAGCATGAGAAGCAGCCACAGCCGTGAGAGCTGACTCGCTAGTTCGTGTAGCCATGGCCGGAAACCTAGGTCAGGTCAAGATACCGCTGTTAGCTGTTCTTCGTCTGGGAGGAAATGTGGATGCGACTGCCGTCACGGGTGTATCATCGATTTTGAGAATCCATGGTGCGACTTGGTGGAGATTCACGGTTGTTTTGAAAATAATTTGACTAGGAGTGGCAACATCAATAACATTTTGACACATGTACACTTCATGTTCAGTGTTGTCAGTAACTTTAAAGATCATAAAAATTGTAACCATGGGTGCCAAACAACGCCAATGACTGCACCCGGGTGTGCCCAAGTTTGATTTTGGCACACTGTGAAAAATTGTGTTTTGCTGTGGTTAGCTGCGCGCACGCTAATAGATATGAAGAAGATTGATGACGATTTTGAAGATTTCCTGCAAAAAGATGATGCGCGATGCAAGTAGATACGAGAAATCAAAGAAGATTTTTCGAAGTTTGATTCGCTAGTGTGAGATTTGTTGAGCATCTAGAATTAAGATTTAGATGTGTCGCCCCCCTCGGTGTAGAGTGACCTACCCCTTGTCATCATCATCAACACCAAAATCTAAAATTATCGATAAAGTTTAGTCTTCTATGTTGCTTATGGCCATATTTTCGCCTGACATTTTACCGTTCACTGAATAAAGAAAAAAAACTCTCGTAAAAGAATTCGATCAACCGCTAATTACACCGTCGGTAGGAACATTGACGTTTATAAAACTCCACGCCCACTATGTTCTATCAAACGTTATCGACTCGATAACATACTGTAATTATCGTCATCGCCGATCACGTAAGGGGCTGTCCATAAACTACGTAGACAGTTTTTTAGGATTCTTGACCCCCCCCCCCCCCCTTCCCCCTGCGTAGGCAATTTTCCATACAATTTTTTTAAAATTTCTATGGGTCGTGAATAATTGTCACCCCCCCCTAAACTGTCTACGTAGTTTATGAACAGCCCCTAAACGTTTGCAGACGTTATCATCATCGTCGTTAACGATAACAAACCTTATCGTCAACGGCGATGACGATAATTTAACGATTAAGAACCCTGATCTAGATAAAAATAATTTTCCCGGACTAGATTAGACACGCACCAACTCATACAATTTAGTAGGTATGTGTGGTCGTGGCCAGGCATCGAAAATCATTTGCATTCATTTCGTGCATTCATTTACATTCACTTGCCTCTAACTTTTTTCTTCAACAGCATTCCCCAAAGTGATGTATAAAACTTTTATTCGTTTTGTAATTAACTACAACTTTTGTAAACAAGTCAAATCCGTATCTCTTATGCATGACGAAGCAGAGCGGACAGAAGCCACTACTGTTTTCCAGTGAATGTATTTTACATTCACTGAAAAACAGTAACAAGTTCTGCCCGCTCTAGTTCGTGATGCATAAGAGATACAGGTTTGAGTTATGAGCAACCTTGTAGCTAATAACAAAACCTACATATGTTCCATACATCGTTTTGCGGAATTCTGTTGATGAAACAAGTTAGAGGCAAATGAATGTAAATGAATGTATGAAATGAATGCAAATGATTTTCCATGCCTGGTCGTGGCTAGAATACACATTATTCGCAAACACAGCGGCAGATGTCAGTTTTGTGCTTTGATCAAAAGGTTTGTCGATGAGATATCTCCATCGAAACTGGAATCTCCGCTGGCAGGCTTAAAATTCCATGGAACCTCCGCCTGCAGCATCATAAATCGCCACCGAAACCGTATGGAACCTCGTCGGCCATGATCGCAAGAAAACGCCAAGCCCAATGTATTTTATTTAGTCAAATCAAGGAAAACGTAATCCTGGTGGATGAACCATAGAGGTAACTCTAAGACAAGAAGGTCCCGAAATAACGTACTCAACTTTTTGGCTCAGCTCTGGTACTTAAGGCCGATGCACAATAGATACGTTTTCGGGTTTTTTAACAGATAATGCATGGGCTAACTGTCAAAAAACCTGAAAACGTATCTATTGTGCGCCGGCCTTTACTTCGGTCCCAAGCTAATCGATTCACCCCTCGAAACATAGGATAGCCACTAACCCCTCATTTTATCTGTCAAACTTTCATAGCGAATCAAAACAAACATTGTGTAGTAGTAGAATTTCGACTAGAATGGGGTACGTTAATCGTTTGCTTGGGACCAATAGGCTAGTCAAGTAGTGAGCCAATTTAAAATCGTTTGTTTCGTATTGATTGTTGGATGAACCCTTTATCAGAACCAGACAAAGTTCTGAGACCCTTCGTTGGCAGCTGCTAGAATCTTCTTCGAAATCATAAAGAATTTAATTTGTCGAGAAGACAAAAAATCCGTTGAAACTTCTAGGAACTCCCGCTGGCAGCATCCAAAATCACCAAAATCACGCGGAACTTCGTCCATCGATAACGTGAGAAAATGCCTGGAAGTTCCGTCTGCAGCATCCAATCTCTTCACTGGTATCGTGCAGAAACTCTTTCGCCGACAATGCGTGGAAACTTCATCGAAAGTCTCTGGGAACCTCCGTTGGCAGAATCTGAATTTTCGACTGAGTTTTCAGATATTCACAGCGCAGAGGGTTCCGAGAGATTTTCGGTGCTTCCAAAGGTGGTTCCAGTGAGCTCCACGGAGTTTTCTCACGTTTTCGGTGGAGAAGGCTCTGCACGATTCCGGTGGAGATTTTTAATGCTGCCACCGGAGATTTCGACGGATTTTTTTTTCTGCGGAATAATTTTCTCAAGCCAGGAGTGTGGATTTATAATAAATAAACCTCAAGTGATCTGCCCCTAGGCTCCAACGCTTACACCATAGAGGTAACTCTAAGACCACTGGGTCCCGAAGAAAATCATTATTATTTTTGGCTCACTCAGTACCAGAACAACGGTCCCAAGCAGTCCCAAGCTATTTCACTCACCCCTGCATGTTCTGCATGAATCCACACACCCCTGATGTTACCTGTCAAACTTTCATAGCGAATCAAAACAAACATAGTGTAGTAATAGAATTTCAACTAGAATAGGGTACGTTAATCGTTTGCTTGGGACCAATAGGCTACTAAAGTGGTGAGCCAATTTAAAATCGTTAGTTTCGTATTGATTGTTGCTTACACCCTCCTCCTTAGCCAGTTTTCTTAAGGAAAGTCCACTCACGGAAACACCATTTGTGCACAATCCGTTTTCTTTGTTCAGGAATAAGGCCACGCATTTTCACATTCCCTCGCAAAATATTAAAAAAAAAAACTGACAACACGTGTTAGTGTCGAGGGGGACGACTCTATCTACACAGCAAAAAAATCGATATTACGATCAATGTAATTCAAGCTGATGTATGAAATAATGATGTAATAGCAAAAAGCAGATACAATATTACCAACAATCAATACGAAACTAACGATTTTAAATTGGCTCACCACTTTAGTAGCCTATTGGTCCCAAGCAAACGATTAACGTACCCTATTCTAGTTGAAATTCTATTACTACACTATGTTTGTTTTGATTCGCTATGAAAGTTTGACAGATAACATCAGGGGTGTGTGGATTCATGCAGAACATGCAGGGGTGAGTGAAATAGCTTGGGACTGCTTGGGACCGTTGTTCTGGTACTGAGTGAGCCAAAAATAATAATGATTTTCTTCGGGACCCAGTGGTCTTAGAGTTACCTCTATGATATTACATCAATGGATGTAATTTTGTTAGCAAAATTGATGTACATCGTACAACGTTATATCAACAATCAATATGAAACTAACGATTTTAAATTGGCTCACCACTTTAGTAGCCTATTGGTCCCAAGCAAACGATTAACGTACCCTATTCTAGTCGAAATTCTAGTACTACGCAATGTTTGTTTTGATTCGCTATGAAAGTTTGACAGATAAAATGAGGGGTTATTGGTTTTTCCTATGTTTCGAGGGGTGATTCGACAAGCTTGGGACCGAAGATAGTACCAGAGGTGAGCCAAAAAGTTGAGCACGTTTCTGCGGGACCTACTTGTCTTAGAGTTACCTCTATGGTTATATTACACAACCGATGGATTGACCTGGTTGCAGCAGACCAGAAGGTCCCGAAGAAACGAGCTCAACTTTTTGGCTCAGCTCTGGTACTCTTTTCGGTCCCAAGCTAATCGATGCACCCCTCGAAACATAGGAAAATCCACGAACCCCTTATTTTATCTGTCAAACTTTCATAGCGAATCAAAACAAACATTGTGTAGTACTAGAATTTCAACTAGAATGGGGTACGTTAATCGTTTGCTTGGGACCAATAGGCTAGTCAAGTAGTGAGCTGATTTTAAATCGTTAGTTTCCACAGGTTTCCACCGGTTGGTAAGACTGTGAACCATTTGCCGAGTTAAATTTAACTCGTGGTTGAATGACATTTCGAAAGTTATTCTCGACCGGTTTTTGAGGAGAACTCAACCACGATTGTCAAAATTTAACTTCTTGTCTGTCAGAAATAACCAGGGTTAATCAATAACTTTCCTTCTGTCAAATGTTAACTGAAAGTAAAAAAAATCAAATGGAGAGTCACCTCACACGGGTGACTATTGTCACCTCACCGGTGAGAGAGAGTCACGTGACTCGCAGAATAGGGGGGAGTAGCAAGAATGTGACATTTTCACATTGAACCGAAATCTCTGCAGCAGGTATTTACACTGACGAAACACAGTTTGTTTATATTTAATTAAAAATCGACACCGTATCGAACAAACCTTACACGGCCGTCGCCGCCGGGTCCTTCTGTTTCTTGCCCTTCCCGTGGATTCCCCACTCGTGTCGCTTCAGTGCACTTTTATCGCTGAACACTTTGCCACATTCGCACGGGAACGTCCGACCGTAGTGCGACGCCAGATGCCGACTCAGACCGGATGCGTACTTGAACTCTTTGTCGCACAGGTTGCACTTGTGAATCGTGATGATCGGATTCGGCGTGTGGGCCATATTCACGTGGTGTCGCAGTTGATCCTTCTGGTTGAACCGCCTCGAACATGATTCGCAAAAATAAGGTTTTTCCTGGAGGGTAAAATTGTTATTAGTTGTAGACTGATGTAAAACTTACTTAACTCACATCAGTGTGAACCAGCATGTGTCGCTTGAGGATCTCCTTTTGAATGAAACTTCTTCCACATTCTCCGCAAATGAAAGGTCTCTCTCCTGCAAAAAAAAAAATGTTCAAAACAAACTCCAAATGATCACGAATTATGTCTTACCCGTATGCGTTCTGTAATGCCTCTCCAAGGAGCTTTTGGTTGGACACCACTTTGCACATACATCGCAAACATGCCCCTTTGAGTTCTCCGGATGAGATGCTTTAATATGTCCATGCAGAATTTTGGGGGATTTAAATTTCGTGGAGCAGTGAGGACATTTAAATTCCCCCTTCATTCTAGCTTGCAGAGTTCTCAATGATGACGACACTTTTTTCTTGGGTTCCGTACTGAACTCCATACAGATGATCGATCCGTCATTTGCTCGCACTTCAACCTTCGTCAAATCACGATCCTTCTCCACTTTCATAATGCAATTTTCACCTATGTTGAACCCCGGTTGTTCTGCCAACTCGGCTTTTACTGCATTTGTAACTGCTTCCAAGTCTTCATCCGAATCATCGCCCGTGTCGTACAGATTGTGCTCTTCCTGAGATAGTTCATTTTCGAGAATGTAGGTATCCGAATCTGATACCGCCGTGATAACGAAACGTTCCGAATCTTCGTGGTTTTCTTGATTAGCCATGCTGTCGCTTTCAGAACAACTTGGTTGTAACTCTTCGTTGAGCACAGTAATGGAACTAGCATTTTCCTCCCCGTCCTCTAAACCGTCTACCTCCATCAGTGTACTATCCTCTAAGTAACTGATCATTTCCTCGTCTTCTTTAGCAAATCTGGCGTGAATCTTAGCTCGGAGCTGCCGCTTCACATCAACACTTGCAATTTCAGACAAATTGTCGTCGTCTTGCGTAGGCTCTTCTTCAATCGACTCATATTCGATTTCTGTATCCTCAACTTTATGGTCCATGCTGTGTACAGAACTGATTTCTAGATCTTTAGAAAATGAAACACATGGTTTAGCTACCTGTTCCGGCATTGCTGGCTCTGTATGCAAGGGTTCCTCTTCATATTCTCCATCCTGATGGATTTCACTCAAATGGCAAGTTTCAATACCAACATCTACCATATTGTCGCGTCGTTGCCGCAGAGCTTCTCGTTCAGCTTCCTCCCGGATTGACCATTCTTCCAGCTCCCAATCAGCACGCAGCTTGGTTTCATGCGCTAAAATTTTCCTTTCCAATTCCTTCAAACTTTCGCCTTCTTTCATCTCATCGATGGCTTTTATAAACTGTAAACTCGATTCAAACTCATCTTCATCGTCATCATCCAGCTCCTCCAGCATCATACTAACTTTACCGGCTGCCAGCAGCTTTACATGGCGCCTCAATTTGGTGTCATTATCCCGGCATTTGCTGCGAAAAATGTACGTCTTCTCTAGCTGATAGCGGCACGGTGAACATATCCTCTTTGGCAAGTTATCAGTTTTGTGCACCTTGAAATGGAATTCCAGTCAATTATCTATGAATTACAAACCATTACTGGGAGCAGCAGATAATTACTCACCTCCAGCGAGACGCAGGCCATAATCCGCAGAACCAGGGAGCTGCTGTCATTGTTTTCGAAAATGTCCTCTAACGAATCGGCTTTCTTCAAACACAGCCGACAAAGATGGTCCAGCTGTGTTTGCGTGGTCATGTTTTGCCCAGAGAATATTGGGCAATCCTTTCTTATTAAGGAAAATAATAATATCAATTTCGATATTGATTTTGCTCCGCGTCGTTTAGAAATAAACAAAAATCCACTTTGAAAAATTTCTCGAGCAACATGTGAAAAGCCCCTATGCGACAGATGTAAACAATGACGTTAAATGTCGATTGCTCACGAATCACAACACGGCGACTCAAACTAAGTACACCAAATGATCAGAAAAAAGGTAGAAAAAGCTTCATTTGGTTTGTCTGAATAAGTTCTCGTCCTTGAGAAATCGACGTTTAACGGCTTTGTTAAGATTTGTTACATAGGCTCTTTTCATATTTTGCTTTAGAAATATTGTTTACTGTTTTTGACAAGTACCAGAGTGACGTATGGTACGTTACGAATATTTAACGATCTTTTTTTTCTAGATACAAGCGTTACAGGCGAGGGGATTCTACCTAAAGCCCTACAGTAAAAGTATGGACGACTGTCACCACAAAACTGAAAAAACTGTTCCAATCGAGCAAAGCGGTGCATTTTGACGGTTCGATTGGAACAACTTTTGACAGACGTCCATACTTTTTCTGTAGGGCTTTAATTCTACCTGGTACGGTGATCGGTAATCAAAAATTACCACAAATTATTAAAAAAAAATGTGAATAATGAATTACTCACTAATTTCAATGCGATGGTGCCCCACAAGTTAAAATGTGGCGGTAAGACATTAAATTTTGAAGATGGTCATTTCAATAGGGTTCTTATTGAGGTCAATGCATATTCGTAATCTGCATTAAAAATGAAACCCAAACCCAAAATTTCATCAATCACTGGAACTATTTAAATAAGTACGATTACATTGCAAAAATCACCTTATTAGCACCCCTCGGTGTCACTTTGTATGGGAGCTAGCTGTCAGTTTGTCAGTTTAGTTTCAAGCAGTGAAGTTATTATTTTGATTTAAAAAACGAAGCTCCTTCAGATGATATTTAAAAACCGATATATTTTTCAAAATTAAAGAACCCGTTATGTCGTTTTCGTTTTTGCGGTGATGCTACACCGTTGCTACACTGCCGTATATCAAAATAATTTAGGGTGTAGATATAGGATGCATCTAGGGGCATCCCACCCTAAACTATAGCCAAATATATTATATTAACAATATGATCCACTCTTTCGCTTAGCTGGCGAACCGAATTTTTAGCGATGAAAGCACCGACAAACCGACATAAAACATAAACTTAACTCTTGATCGGGAATCCATAACGGTGGATTCAAATGTGCAGCGATCCCATTTTGTATGCGTGTTCGTGACTAGGATACACATTTTTCGCGAACACGGCGGCAGATGTCAGTTTTGTGCTTTGATCAGAAATTTGATGGTACCTTGTACGGTCATTCATGTCGGTTTGTCGGTGATGAAAGCACCTCTGTGGCCAAAAAGGCTACCAATGTATTTGTTTATCGTCACGAGGGGTAAACCAAATGAAAATTAGTTTATTATTTCAAATGAATATATTTCAGCATTTTATTTTATTTGATGACAACAGTGCCATGTCAAACAAATTTTAAAGTAATATACACAAAGTAATTTATGACAATAATTTGACTCTTACTTTTGTAATAAGTTATATATTCGCACCCCTCGATTGTAATTGGGTTCTTTAAGGGTATTGAGGTAAATACATATTCATAGTCTGCATTAAAAATGGAACCCAAACCCAAAATTTCATCAATTTGGGTACACTGGAACTATTTTAAATAAGTTCGATTACATTTGCAAAAATCACCTATTAGTGCCCCTCGGTGTCACTTTGTATGGGAGCGAGTTGTCAGTTTTTTAGTTTAGTGTCAAACAGTGAAGTTGTTATTTTGCTTTAAATGTTAATTTAAAAATCGTGATGAAAGTGTGTTGGCTCGAAAAAAAATATCGCTGTGCTCAGAAAACGAAGCTCTATCGGATGATGTATAAAAAACAATACATTTTTCAAATTTAAAGAACCCAATTGAATGATTGTTGCTGACCTTTTTCAACGCTAGATGGTGCATGAAGCAATATTTTGCGGGGCGCCATTGCACCATATGGAAAAGGCATGAATGGTATTGTTAATATGATATATTTGCTATAGCTCTTATATCAATTAAATATTTTCAAGTATCTGATAAGTATTCTTAAATATTTTTAAGTATTTTAAATTTTGGATTTTTAAATCGTAGTGACAGGTTACTACTGTAGTTGTTTGTTGTTGTATATTTTGTCAACGTATTAATTTTAATCACATACTAAAGCATATTAATACTAGTTTCAATCTATTTTAAATTAAATGAAGTAGTATAATCATAGAGGTAACTCTAAGACCACTGGGTCCCGAAGAAAATCATTATTATTTTTGGCTCACTCAGTACCAGAACAACGGTCCCAAGCAGTCCCAAGCTATTTCACTCACCCCTGCATGTTCTGCATGAATCCACACACCCCTGATGTTATCTGTCAAACTTTCATAGCGAATCAAAACAAACATAGTGTAGTAATAGAATTTCAACTAGAATAGGGTACGTTAATCGTTTGCTTGGGACCAATAGGCTACTAAAGTGGTGAGCCAATTTAAAATCGTTAGTTTCGTATTGATTGTTGGTATAATCAACAATCAATACGAAACTAACGATTTTAAATTGGCTCACTACTTGACTAGCCTATTGGTCCCAAGCAAACGATTAACGTACCCCATTCTAGTCAAAATTCTAGTACTACGCAATGTTTGTTTTGATTCGCTATGAAAGTTTGACAGATAAAATGAGGGGTTATTGTTTTTTCCTATGTTTCGAGGGGTGAATCGATTAGCTTGGGACCGAAGAGAGTACCAGAGCTGAGCCAAAAAGTTGAGCACGTTATTTCGGGACCTTCTAGTCTTAGAGTTACCTCTATGGTATAATCATGATTATCAATAAGTGTTTTTATTCTACGTATGAAATAGTTCATCAACATCAACAGGAGTGCGACCTCGGCGTAGTGGTTAGCATCCATACTCACGCCAAAGTCACGAAATCAAATCTTACTCCCGGACAAGTCACAAATGGCCCAACCCGCATAAACGCGAACCATAAATTGAACTTACCTAAAATGGTTAAAAATTGTTTATAATCCCTGCTAAACTTTAACTGAAATGGTTATGGAACTTTACATGAACGTTTAATGATAAAGTTTCAACCTTATGTATTATGGTTTTGTGGAACTGAACCTTACAAATAATGGGTTGTTAAGAACCATTACCATTCCAAATTCTTGTTTTCTCCATACATTATCTGAAAGAGAACTATATTAGAACGTTTTTACTTATGGTTTGAGAACATTAATGGTTATGGTTATGGTAGTCAGTAAGTTCCATTAATGGTTTTGTATTATCGCTCAACTTTACGTGGAATATATCGTGAATTGGTAATCAGTAAATTACAGGCAACCAATTCGCGATATATTCCACATAAAGTTGATCGATGTTACAAAACCATTCGTGGACCTTACTGACTACCATAACCATTACCATTAAAGTTCTCAAACCATAAGTTAAAAGGTTCTAATATAGTTCTCTTTCCGAAAATGTATGGAGAAAACAAGAATTTGGAACGGTAATGGTTCTTAACAACCCATTATTTGTAAGGTCCAGTTCCAAAAAACCATAATACATAAGGTTGAAACTTTATCATTAAACGTTCATGTAAAGTTCCATAACCATTTCAGTTAAAGTTTAGCAGGGATTATAAACAATTTTTAACCATTTTAGGTAAGGTCAATTTATGGTGCGCGTTTATGCGGGAAGGGCGTTAAAGTGACTATAATTTAAAAAAAAAAAGTTCATCAACAAAGAATTTTATTTCAGCAGCAGTTAGAGCAGGGACAGGACAGAATTATGTATTTTTTTTTTTCGAACTGACTGTTCAGTGCGATATCAAACTTTTGAATTCTATTGGAGGTTAATGGTGCCGTTGTCGTCCAGAGCCGCAACCAGATTCCAAACTGAGGACCAAAATAAAAGCATATTTTTTTTTTCCCTTTGATTTGTTTTTTCCGTCGATCTTGTTTTCCGTGCTGAGCACCAATGCTACCGACGTGCCAGGAAGGCAGCTCCCACACCTGGACCCTACCTATCGACCCATCAACTCATGAACCGGGGACCAACGGCTTTACTTCCCATCTGAAGGAAGGCGTGATCAGAGATGTTATGCCTCAGAACATCCCGGCGGCGCCGACTGGGATTGAACCCAGGCCTGCTGGGGTGAGAGATAATCACGCTTACCACTACACCACCGGTGCCGTTAAAATAAAAGCATATGTTGGATGTCATATTGGCTAAGAACTATCACAAGCAGCATGAGTAGGAAATTCTTGACTATAAGCGGGTCAAGGATGCTAGGAGGACACGTTGCTTATTTTCTAGAGAGCAATAGCAATACAATGAAACATAACTGCCAGCAATTCGTTGAGTTGGTTGACTCGAGAACTGAATGCAATTGCCACTGATGGTCGTATCGTGCCACGTTTTGACAACTCCCCAGTGAGTATCCTGATAGTAGCCGAAGGATTTATGTGAAATCAACATGAATTTTTCACTTCTAGGCTTCGAAACCAGTCTTATCCTTACTGGATATCGTGGTAGGGGTAAACAATAGTTTCCAAAACCTACGACTGGATGCCTTCCTTCAAATAACAACTGAAGTGCGGTAAAAAATCGGTAGAACTGTTTCAAACACACCGTTGGTACTTGAGCGGGTCGGTTTTCATCTCTTTTTGCCAGTGGTGGCGGGGGGGGGGGGACCCCCCTCACCATCCCTCTCCAAAGGGGGAGTTTGGTAAAGAGAGATGAAAAAACCGATTTGTACCTTCCTTAAAAGTTGTCCTTAGCTCGCTTTTCTAATATCTATATACAATCTTCACACTGCCGTACTCTAACGAAACTATCAACCACAGACAAACAGACATAACACTCACAAGTTGTTCATCGAACAAGCATTTAACGGTCAATTTTAGAAGTATCTCAGTTGGTAGTTCTGCCACCTGTGGCGCGTATAGTCAATTCCCTTGCGTTTGACGTTTACACACTACCGCCATCTATTCAGCGTACTACCCACCACAGTGTACTCAACAGATGGCGGTAATGTTTTAACGACGATGTTTTACAATGAGAAATATTCAATGTGTTATGTCTGTTTGTCTGTGTATCAACTCTATGCTTTCATCTACTCCATATATCGTATAAAAATTACCACTACAGTCTGTTATTTGAAATTAGCATCTTCAACTAAATAATAAATATGTTTATTTTAAACATGCTTCTCATGTTTAAAATAAACACACATTTAGGAATTATTTTAGGAGTTGAGTGCAGGGTAAAGCCTCGGGTACAGCAAAATAAAACGGTTTGCAAAGAAATGAAAAAAAAAGATCTTCGGACAGGGCATCTTAATTCCTGCTCTTTTTTGGGTGCGATTAAGGGTGACCTGTGGGTATTGGGGTCCTGGTTCGGGATGCGAGGACCCGTTGGGGTGGGTGTCCGGGGGTTCCAGTTCAGTGGAACCGGTGCACATTTGTGTTACTAGCGTCGTTTTGCCGTTTCTGCCTCGGTTTCTGCCACTGGTCCTCATACCGGTTTCTTTCCAAGTTCGGTATCGGAGGAGGATCCGGAATGGATTCGGAATGGATGGCCGTTTTCTGTTGAGGTTGAGCAAAGCTGGGGCAACCTTTTCTGAATGTAACAAGGAGGAAATAAAAAGGCATGACACGCTAAAAACCGTTTACCCAAACCCTGTATTGTTGAAATAAACATGCTTTTGAATTTAATTCAAACATAAATATTTTAGTTTTAAACATGCTTTCAATTTACTTTGAATAATTCATATGTTTAGAGTATAAACATTTATATTTTTGTTTCAAATGAATCCGTGTACAATGTGATATAATACAATCGATGGATTGACCTGGTTGCAGCAGTTCCGATGTAATATTCAACAACTTTTTTTTGCTGTGTAGATATGTCAAAATGAGTTTGACATCGATTTGTCATGTATTTTCCTCGGATATTCACTAGCACGCTCTCATATATCGCACCAATACAACCAGACGTGAAAATCTCTATTAAACCGGTGATAAACCACAAAAACGAAAACGACATGAGAGACATTTCCAAAATCCATTTGGCATCCTTGGCTACGGGCTTATGCGAGCTCACGGCCAATCATACCAACTCAGCGACTGAGAATAATTGACTCAGAGAATTTTCTTTCCATACGAAATTTATTTAGATTTGGAAGAAACTACAGTTACTCATAGCTTATGAGTAACTGCAGTTTCTTCCAAATCTGATAGCGAATTCGTTTATTATTCAGTTCCAACCTGGATCGGGTATCAAGATTGGGTCTGTTTGATTTCTGACATACGTCAGTTTGCTCGTTTGTTTTTAAAACCTAGCTCAGGTTGAGGTTCACACTGACAAAAAGTTCGGTTTCGCACTGGGTTGGAACTGGTGTTAACCCCGATAATAAACGAATTCGCTATGAGTAAATTTCGTATGGAAAGAAAATTCTGTGCACTGTAACTGGAAAGTACCCATTAATGGGTGAAAAAGTGCCCATTTCGCGGTAAAGTAGGTAAACTCATAAAATGGGTAAAACGTCTTTACCCACTAATGGGTAAAGAGCTTATACGTCAAATCATGGGTACTTTTTACCCATTTCCAGAACGCATTGTTTTCCGTAACTGGGTAAAAAAGTACCCATTTTTTAAAATGTATTTATGGGACTCAAATTTGTGGAATGAAACAAATATGCTTTTAAAAACGTTATAAGCTAAGAAATCATTCAAATCATATAGCATTTCTTACCTTGAAGCTTTTTGAAGCTATCACCATTCTTTAAACTATTCATATAGGGTTACGGTATGTAATGTGGGTCTAGTCCTTTCATTCGGCCTATCACGCAAATAAATAATTAATTAAGGAATATTACACAAAAAATAAGGAAAATATTGATCACTGATGGTTGATAAATGTGTACCACACACAAATCAATTTATATCACAACATTTCAATACATTTTCAGCTCTCGTAAGTAATAAAACTGGTTGAGAATATCACAATGTTCGGAGTTTTTAGCCGCCATGACTTATAAGGTTAAGATGGGAAGGTTGACTGACGATCATCAAATGGCCTGATTATGGCATTTATTGATTGGAATTACCTGATAATACACACTAGACGTAAAACTTACAGTTGCTGTTTGAATATTTTATGTTTATTTTAATTGTTTAACAACGTTTTCACAAGTAAAACATGGACCCAACTTTAGGGACACATTTCTTTTCTATGTTCCTAACTATGGCCCATGAAATTCATTTGACAGCATATAGCAATAAGAGTAACGTCAACAATGTTGTTTTGCATTTGGATGATAAGGAACGAACAGGAAGGGAGATTTTTTCTGCCAAACCTGTATAATGAACATCACAATGTTCTGATTTAGATATTCTGCGGTCAAAAGACGATAAGCGAAATTTTTAATTTTTAATTTTTAAATTGAGTGATTTAATGTAGTTTTCGTAAAATTTTCTCTAAGAAATGTTTTGAGGAATGAAGAGCATTAAGTTAACAGTGATAGTGATAAAAAAAAATACATCAGAAAACGTTACCAAGAGCGTTTTTTTGAGGATCAAACAAGATAGGACGAAGTTGCATCCATAAATAGACCCAATTTGGGGACAATAGACCCATATTACATACATTTCCCTCGTGAGTTATTGTCTTAAAAAAAGTAAGTTTTTCAACTTTTCGTGGTTTCTGATAGCAAACGACATGATAAGCATATCTAAGCATACCATTTAGCAGTAGAATATCGTTTGCAGGTAAATTCATTGATGAGTTATGATTAAAAACGTAATCGATGGCTGCATATTAGACCGAGGTTAGGGACGTATACCCTATATCACTTTTTGTAGTTTTCGGAACAAATGCACTCGAAAATGTAAACCAAGTATGTCAGCAACGTTATGGTGCAACAAAGATATTTTTCACCCAATTATGGGTAAATATGTACCCCTTTTTGATCCCTGAACAGGTTTCGGAAATGGGTGAAAAAGTACCCACTATTTGAAATTTTCATTTACGCATTTTTTGACAGGTCCATACACTACCACAAAATGGGTACTTTTTCACCCATTAATGGGTACTCGCCAGTTACAGTGTGTGTCAATTATTCTCAGTCGCTGAGTTGGTATGATTGGCCGTGCTCAGTCGCTGAGTTGTTATGATTGGCCGTGCTCAGTCGCTGAGTTGGTATGATTGGCCCTGATGGCCGTGAGGGTTAACGAGTCAAAACGTCAGAAAACGACAACAAAATCGGAGAATAGAAAAATGTCGGCGTGGTGATTTTGGTAGTGAAATTTTCCCATTTTCATCCAAAGTACCGCGAAAAACCCGTAAAAAATGTCTGTATCGGCGAACATAAGCGTTGAAGCACCGATTGAAAATCAAATCCAGGAGATTGCCTACGATGGAACGGAGATTTATCAGTTGTAAGTTTGGCTTGTTTTTTTTTTCTTGTGTTGATTGTTTTGGGTCAATGGAATTTTCCCCCACAGGCCACCAACTCTGTCGGAACATCTGGCCAAGTGTGCAGCAAAGATCGACTTTAGCAAAAAGGCCAATGACATTGATTTGGTTCAGCAGAGCATCAAAAAGGAGGACGAAAAGAAGGAAGATGAATCTAAGGACGCGGCGGCGCACTTTCAGTCCAGCCTGTGGCCGTGGGATTCCGTGAGGAATAAGCTGAAGGATGCCTACACGGAGGTGTCCGTTCTGTCGGATGTGCTATCGATTGCGAAGGAAAAGCGGTTCATGGTGTTGGATCCGATTCCGCAGGAACCACCGGAAGTCAAGCAGATGGTGCAGGTATATGCCAGGAAGAAGGCTTTGGCCAGTGCCGCGAATATTTTGCTCACTGGAGCGGAACGACTGAAGACGGCACACACCGATCAGGGTGGAAATAGGAGTACACCGGATTTCCACATCGAGCTGTTGAGGTTGAGAAGGAATTGGCGGTTGAAGAAAGTTTCTAATACGATTATCGGAGATTTGAGCTATCGGACGGCAGGGTCAAAGTTCATGCATCCGGGAATGTTTGAGGTGACCAAGGCGGAAGATGAGGAGAGCAACGAGGAAGGTGGAAGTGGGGCGGTGGGATCGGTTGGGGCTCCACCGGTTGTGCCTGGGCCGAAGATCAATTCCGCTCTGAGGGTGAATGTGCCGACAGAGTTGCAGGGAGTGGCGTTCATTAAGGTCATTACGCAGAAGGATCAGGGAGATCTGTGTACGGCAACACTGAATATGATGGGATCAACTCAGCTTTGTCCACAGGCAGGGGCTTGGCAACAGACGCTGGAGTTTGCTCAGAATGTGCTGTTTTGTAAGGAATTGTTCAATCAGCTTGCGAGAGAAGCTGTTCAGCTGCAAGCACCGATTCCGCACGTGGTTGTAGGTAATCAGATCCGAGCTACGTTACTTCCGGGCATACAGCTCATAATCTCGCTTTGTCATTCGACTTCTTCGGATTCGAATAACAGTTCCGAGCCGATTAAGGATCACGATCACGTGTTGGAGCATTCGCTGCATCAGTTGTTGCGTGAGTTCCATCATAAAAACACGCATCACCCTTTCCCGCATCCGGCAAGTGCGCCGCTGGGACCGAGTAAGAAACGAATGTTGGCTGGTCCTTCTGCCTTCGATCGGTACGAATTGTTAGAAATGACAAAATCGCAGACACTGTTGGAGCAAATTATCGCTCAAGCACAGCATATTTTCACTCGACGTCGCGCTCAGTACGTCCTGGACACTTTGGCTCGGGACGTGAAAGACCCTCAGATAACTTCACACTGGAACGCCATGAACAGTCCAACGATGTCGTGCGTGAAAATCAACATCACTTCGCACGGGTATGATGCCAATCTGCGGACGTCGTTGGTCATTCACGTGAAGGAACGCTCGCTCAAGTGCATCTGTCGCGATGGCCGCATCATGCACATGTCCTACGAAATGCAGGAACTGCGAGATCTAATCCTATACCAGATCAGCCAGCATCAGATCATCTGTCTGCAGAGTTTGGCCAAATGTATGGCGTGGCAGATTCTTTCCAACAGCAGCCACCTGGGTATTGGTTCGGTGGAACCGTTGGGGAATGCCAGTTCCTGTGTGCTGGCATCGCCCAACAGTGACCGACTGATCGCGGTGCAAGTCCGGTGCGATCCGCAGATTGACGTGAAGGTTTATATTGCTCAAAGCCCCGGTAAGGACTTCTTCCCGGGATCACTGGTGCAGGGACGGCACTGGGAACATCTGGGAGGACACTTCAAGGAGGTAAGTTGGATGGCACTTGTATGGCTGATGGTTTATATCACTTTTGCTTGTCTGTAGTTGCGGTTCGACAAAATGGAAGGCAAAAACTTCCACAACAAGATGGAATTCCTGATGGCAAGCCTGACCAGTCAATCCTAACCACTGGTATTGGAAAGTATTTTCACCCACTCGGAACCCAACGGCAATCATGCTCCGGACTTGGAACAACTTTCATTCGACATCAACCAGCGACTGGATTGAGAGATCAGATAGCAAGGTAAGATTATTATGTTTAGTCCCATTCTAGCATCTCTAATTTAAACAGGTAAATCTAAGCTTAGCTCCTAGAGTCCACTCGTTATCTAACCGTAGTAATTCGTAATAAATAATCGTGACGTCAAGCTGCCTGCAACAGAAACGGTAGATAGTAGAATCGAAAGAACTTCCGTTGGTTTTCACATCAGTAGCTTTTATTATAGTTACTAGCTACTATATTTTTCATCGTACTCCAATTCGAACAGAAGTTGTTGTATCCTTAAGCGAGCCAGTTGGTTCTTTTTGTTGGGTAACCGTCGCAGGATGGGCGCACAGGACAGCAAAAATCGTTCGTCCGAGTCCATACAGCTGGAGAACGACGATTTGTGATCCGATTCTCGCTGTTCAAAACTCGGTGGTTCTTCTCGCTGCGGTAGGGAAGGAGTTGGAGCAGCACTTATATGTACGGGTGCAACCTCTGGTTCGCCAGCAGGTTGTGACAATACAGAATTCGACGTTGCTTGTGGAACTGAAGGAAGTTCCACAGTTGGAGCTGTGGAGGTTTTGACTTGAATGGGTTCTATCAGATCTTCTGAAGGACTTGGTGCTCGTATACTCGGTGCCATGGATTCCATGAGATGCTGCGCTTCTGATTGAGTATCGGTGTGATAGTCCTCGTGTTGGTCTGATATTAGTGAGTCCATTTCTATTTCCTCTACGTGAATCTCGGATCCATCAGCGTCTGACAGGGCTTCCTGTTTTATATCTTCCCCCCTACTTTCTGCGAACGACGGTTGCTGTGTGGATTCGAACGTTTCCTGCAGCTCGAGCATCGTGGAGTCTAATCGTTCTTCGTACATAAAGCTACCGGCGTGATTGTCCTGAGAATGCAGATTTTCATTTGGTGTAATCTCTTGCGAGTGCTGCATATTCGGGAACATATCGTCATCGTCTTCGCCCTCGTCTTCCGTCTCTTCGATTCCTATAACGGCACCTTCCGGGATGGTGTCCGGATCTTGCAGCTAAAACATGCAGGTCAATTAGAAAACAGCTTTACAAATTACAATTCTTTAATTTCACCATTTGGAAAACCTCCTTTCCATCTTCCGTCACGTACGACACCGTTATCGGTTCCCTGCTTTCCTCGAAGATATCCATGTCCTCTTCAATCTCCACGTATTCTGTATCCTCGTCATTATCAAATCCATCCATCATCCCAACCGTTCTCGACTGTCTTCTCGTTCTGCAAAATTTAAAATCATAACATTTTGTCCACCAAAAAAATCTCCTATTCCGCTTCCTCACCTGTTCCCCAAATATGGCAGTAGAAACTCCAGCAACCGATAGTGCAGCCACGTTTTCCTTTCGTCCTCATTCTTGTTCCGGACCACTTTCATGAAAGCATCCCTCAGACTTCGCCACCGTTTCTTACATTCGCTCTCGGACAAATTCATCGCCAGAGCCACTTCGGCCCACGCTTCGTGCCTGGTAGTAATCTTCTTGTAATCCTTCAGTGTCGTATTGTACAGAATGGGCCGTTTCTTGATCTCGTTCACAAACATCTCCTCATTGACCTTAACAAACTGGCGCTTTCCGCCAGCACTCATGTGCGTGTATGCAGCGGCGCTCAGCACCAACGGTGGCGGTGAAGAACAATCCTTCCGCAAGAAATCTACGTAATGCAGTTGCGGTTGCTGCTGCGTCTTGGAGTGGCCAGTTTTGATTATTTGAAACATGGTGCCGTCTGACCTGGGAAGGACGAACGTCCTCTCCTGTCCAGGGTGCGAAGATCGGGATCAAAACAAACGGAACAAACAATATTTACACTTGCATAAAACGCAAAGTTTAACACACTTTAAACTATGGCGAAACGGAGCAAAATCGCAATTTTTCTAAAATTGTTTACAAATTGATGCGATTGGAAGTGCGCGTTCCTGCCGCACACGATTCGCTAACGATTTCTGTCAAAAAAAGATTTAACGAAAGCGTTCAGCATATACCGTTACCGAACGTCATGGAATGAAATTGGTAACACTGACCCGAGGGGTGTCTAACAAGTAAGCAGTGACCCTGAAATTGCTGGATATTTGACCCGAGCTTGATCGAACCCGAGGGGTTTCTACCAAGCTTGTAAGGTGATCGGTAATCAAAAATTACCACAAATTATTAAAATAATTAGTGAATTTTGATCAGTAATTTCAATGTAATAAAAATAATTGTGGGTAATTTCAGTAATTCCTACAGCTTGGAAAATAATTTGGTAATTTTAAAGGTAATTAAACAGCAATTCGGGTAATTTCATATATACTTGTACTCTGGAATTATCATGTTCATCATCTGCTTATTGCGTCTGTTATTTGCGTTGGAAGACTGTAGAGAAAATTCATGTATGTAAATTTTCCAAGAATTTAAAAAAAAAACTGATTTTCATGCAATTTTTATATATTTTTCCAATATTTTTACAAAAATCAAAACGTCCCAACAAATTGTTTGAGGTATAAACTTCTCTTTAAAGCATTTGATCTTCTTTTCATGATATTTGATGAAATTATTCAGTGCCAACATTTCAAAGGCGCGTAATTGCATTTGTAAACAATGGCTTTAGCCGTGGATTTCTCGCGGATTAAAGTTCACTCATGAAAATTAATTGCACTATCAGATAGAGGAATGTTGCTTGTATTAGCTAGCATTGTTAATTTGGAGGAATGAGCTTTTATTTGTGAGAAATCAACGGCTAAAGCCATTGTTTATAAAAGCAATTACGCCTCTTTTAAATGTTGGTACTGAATTATGCATTTACCCTGATTAATCTTGAAAATCTTAATGCGTATGAAATTATCTAAATCAAAGGTATGCAATATAATCAACGAAGACGTTTTCTTGTGATTTGGGTTTATTAACAAAAACAGTTTAAAATCAACAACATATTTATTTAAAATCAACAAACCATTAACAATCATGTGTGCTTTAAAACTTAAGATGTACGGTGTTTCATCAAGTATTTCACGGATCATACTAAGTGAATCTTTATCAAGTAAGGTTCCATTAGTATCGCTTTTTGGCGCGGTAATATGTCCAGCGTAGCTCTCGATGTGAATTGGACTTCGTTCTACACATGGCTGTAATCTGTTTCCTGATGATAGCTCAAACCAACTACAAACCACATTCAATCCAGTGTCCAGACGATAAGGACGATACCTTACACGATTTCTGTCTTAACCAGAAATATATTGGAAGCATAACACTTGTCCGATAACCAATCGGATTTCCAACCAAAATGTGCACCATTCTCCTATGGTGATGGTTTTATAGATTCCATAATGTTTTGAGAGATTGACCTCTTTCTCATCTTGTCCACCATCAGCTCGCACATAACGCCTCAAGCGATCAGGACTCACTCGGCTTGGTTGCTTACGGAAAATCCATAGCAGGCTGGAAATCTTCACAACAATTATGTCTCCGTTAATCTTTCGAATCTTGACGAAATTCGTTTTGGCGGAAGATTTTTCTGGAATCAAAACCGAGATCAAAACAATTTGATTAGATATGTAATCCAAAATCTAAAATAATCAATAGTTACCATAATCTTTAGTATAATCTGTTAACTGCAATTCAAAATCAGGAACATCGAATAAGTCGGCCAAATCCACGACATCATCGTGGATTCCTTTCAAACCTCTATTATCAACGATGTCGTTGTCTGGAGCATCCTCGGTGTCCATGATTGCTGAAGTATCTCATAGTCTATAGCAAGGTCTACCGGCTGAACATGGCAGCTCACATGTTCGCTGCATTGTATACCCAAAGAGTTTAAATCCGTCATAGCATCATACATAGCTGATTGTATCATATCCGTAATAGACTCATCATCATGCATTTCAGATGGCACATCGTAATTACGAGTTTGCGCATGCTTTCTAGCAGTACTTTTTAATATTGTTTCAGATTCAAGGAGGAAATCCGCTCTTTTTACTCGGTGTAGTGATTGCAGTACTGAAAAGTTTACAACCGTTGAAAAAGTAGAGCTCATAGATCTGAGTTTGCGAAAAAATCTTTCATTCCACTGGCTGTTGAAAAAATGAGGCAGAAACGCATCCGAGCAATTGTTCTCTCGACAATATATGATTATTTTAATGAGCTCGTGAGTATTGAGTTCTATACAAAATGCTGAGTTCAAAGTAATAAAGTTATCTTCAATCGAAAGCCTTTCACGGATTAGCCAATCCCGCCAAAAACGTATAAAATATACCGCATACCAAATTCGAAATACTCGTTGAAGTATTGTCAAACTGGACTCCATGAACGCAGAGGTTGCATAGTATATCAACTTGAGGAATAACACAGTTCCATCGCTTTGAAGCACGTGCTTTTGAAGACCTGATGCTACTCTGCTTTGAACCAATTTTTCAACAATCCGGTAATTCATTCTGTCTTCTGAAAAGATTTCGCCAATCGAGAGACCATGTTCCGATAGAGGACGTAGATAAATCAAAATGATGAGATGACTTGCAGTAGCAATCGAATTTCCTACAAACAGATAGCTTTAGCATTTTTTTTTAGAAAATCAGTCCAATCAATGCTTACCTATACGATGAACTTTCCCCACGTGTAAGAAGCGGTTTTTTTTAATTTTCCGCCTAGATGGATAGTATCTTGAACACAGAAGGGTGGTCCTGTTGACTTACTGAAGAAAAAACGTGCGTACTTCTCCAAAATGACATCATTATCATCGAGCTCATGTCCTAATCCTGTAAGCATTTTCATTCCTCTTACATAAGGTGACGCTCCATCAGTGGAATAACAATTATAATTATATCATGCTTACCCTAATAAAAATTGTATGGTTAATTTGCTTAACGACGTGTTCTGGGTATCATCCAAACCATTTGTGGAATAGTTCAATGTTTTGGGTTATCGCTCGTTTTGGGTTATTTTTCATTAGGGTAGCAACCCTAATAAAAAATAACCATAAACGAACGATAACCCAAATCATTGAATTATTCCACAAATGGTTTGGATGATACCCAGAACACGTCGTTAAGCAAATTAACCATACAATTTTTATTAGGGAAGTTCATGTGATATATGCTGTACACGTGCAACAAACGATTCGAATTTATAAGACTTGTCCATTCCGTATGCTATGAGACAAAACGGCGCAGCATGTGATGATATACTCATCGCCATGACAACATTCAAATCTGTTGCTAGTTTTCCCGAATGTGTCTGAACTTTAACATCTTTTGCGGAATAAACTAATGAACTCAAAATAGGCAACCCAGTTGATGGACACTCGTTGTACGTGTTTCCTACCATCCTTTTGCAGTTGGAATCGTATTCCAGTTTTGATGTGACAGCTGTTGCATCTTCGGACAGCCAGACGAATTTGGAGGCCTTCACTCGGTGATATAACCAGAAAATTCTCGTGATCGCAGTATCCCTTCTGGAATATGTTCAGACTGACCAGAATAATATTTATACAAAGTCGATGGTTTGGGTAATGGTGGGCGTTGGCCAAATTTGGATTTTTCAGATATAATCCTAAATAGGACCTAGATTATTTAATACTCTAGTAACCTCAAGTCCGTGCTCTGTCACAATGTTTCATTGTGATTAATCAACACTCAAAGGGGTAAAATATCAAATTTAGGGTGAATTTGAAAGAAAGGGAACTTGGAGTGTAGAGCGCACTGCCCACTGGACGATTCTGAAGCCTGGCCAAATGAGTGGGGTATGGGTTTATTTGATTGAACGTCATTTCCAATGTATATATTGATACATTCAAACCATTGGCATTTGAGATAAGACAGAGATAGGATGCGGAGGGCCCGCTTAGGGGAAGCGTAACCCATGTTATGGTTTCCATTTATTAAATAGTTCAGATAGGCTGGAAATGACAGGTTCATAGTGAGAAAATGTACCATATGGGGCCCTTCACTGATCAAAATCAGATTCACATCGTCAGACCCTGCCCAAGAATAAGGGGATTGACGATGTCTTGTCAAGTTTTATTTTGAATTTGCGTTTTGCATTTAATACTCTAGTAAATCTCGCGTCCGTGCTCATTCACAACAGTGTGAGGTGTCAATGCTCACTGGGTCATATGTCTTAGACCAGTTCCAGATTAGTTTGCTATTAATATCTTCTGCATCGCAGTTCGCGATAGATTCCTAAATATGGGTTCTCTTTTCCGACCATAATAGTGTGAGGGAAGGGGGTGAGTTCTGGATCAACAATGGAAGGGGGCCCATCGGTTTTTGTGGGCAGACCGTCCAGAGCCCATTCCTCGCGGATCGGGGGCTGCTCGCGCGGGCCAACACCGTCTTCGTGTAGGTGGAAGTTTTCCCTATCCGATGATGGTGTTGGTTTGCGTGGGTGGCCTTCGCTTTGTGAGTGGGGGGCTTTGGAGCGGTTTGTTTGCAGATGCTGATGGGCCCTTTTCTATTGTTGATCCAGAGTTAAACGTTCGATATGAGAGCGACTAGGGCAAATAAATAGGGAAGACAACACCATGACCCAAATAAGTAACCAATGCATGCGGCTCACACTTAACTTGTTCTATTTCTTTCTTTCTTCCTATCATGTACTAATATTAACTGCCTGAGGACAAATGGGAACACGACCAGAAACCAGAAACGAACAAGAAAAGAAGAATTAAACTTGCACCGGCAAGAGGAAGCAGACAGAAAGGATCATGCCGGTTGGAGACAGCCAATGTATACGGGACGAAGCTTTTATCTAGGAAAAGTCGTATGTGCAGGAAACCGTAAGTAGGATAAGAATCGTAAAAGGTGTGTGCTTGCTTGATAAGATCCTAACTTTACTTTAAATACACGGTAGGAATCGAATATCCATTTATGATTAAGGTTTTGCCCATTTTTCAGTGGGAGTGGCAATACTCATTGATGAGTGATTTATCGTACCCATTTAT